CTTTCCTCATTTTCTTTCTTCCAGGTGTACATGTTCAAGCCCGAGGAGGCGGAGGCGAAGCAGAAGGCGGCCGCGGCTGCGGCGGCCGCCGCCGCCAAGCAGCAGAACGGCAGCCGCGGCAGCGGCAGCCGCGGCAAGAAGGCCAAGGCGCCTGCCACGGCGGCATGAGCGGCGGCGGCTGGCAGTATCGCGGCTGCACCCTTTTCGCCGCGCGGCCCTGACCCCATATTTCGTTCCACATCAGCACTTGTCTGTCACCCTCCTCCCTCCCTCTTCCGTCCTTGAGCTGCTGTGCTTGTTCAGCGCTGCAATTCGACCGGTGTGAATGCTCATGAATAGCAGCTAGCAGGTCAGCTGTATTCATGCAGCATGAGCCACGTGGAGGCCTGATGTCAGTCGGCCCAGGGGCAAGGCACGCTGCCTCCAGTCGAGAGAGCTGGGGCGGTTGCGGCGGCGGCGCCCCGGGTAGTGGACTGCCTCAATTCGTGTGTCGATTGCACGCTGCTGTACCGGCACCACTGCATCGGCACTGCCATTGAATCAAACAGCTGCAATTGGGTCAGAGATAGGTGTACAATCGTACTGAGTTGTTGGGCCCGCCCACGTCTTCTGCTGCCACGGCATTGGCGATGCAATGCACCGATCCCCTCTGCGTGATTCAGCCACTGTGCGGGGGCCCCGCCTCCCATCCCCCGTTTTCAAGTGTGCTGAGCGCCCGACTCAACGCTGGTGCGCGCCCTGACCAAAGTCACGCCTTGGCATCGCCAGGTGCATCCACGGAAAGGCACACAGGCGCCGCCCCCTTGCCCCGTCGCCCCGCCTGCGCTGCCGCCGCTCCCGCCACATACGGCCCGCCCCCAGCCCTTCTCTGCCGTGCTGCTGCAGCGGCTGCGGTCCCCGTGACTGGGACCCGGCGGCGGCGGCGGCATGGTCAAAGCGGCGCGGCACGCGGCGCCCGCGCGGCGCGGCGCCCGCTTCCCGCTGCGCACGCTGCTGCTGGCGGCGGCGGTGGCCGCCGTCGTCTGGCTCAACCTGCAGCAGCCCTATGGCGGCGGCAGAGGCAGGGAGGGGTGCGCGGGACGGGCGGCGGCGCGCAAGGCGGCACGCGGAGGCAAGGGCGGCGTCTTCAAAGAGGTGTTTGCCACCCTGTTTGCGATAGAGATGCGGCTGCTGCTCCATCTCAACAACGATGGCCCGCTGCCGCCCGCCGACGCCCCGCACAGCCTGGACGAAATCATCGACATTGTGCAGGTGGGGGCTGGCTGAAATCTTTGTTTTACTTTTTTAAAGAGCTGCATGGTTGAAGGCCTGCACAGAGCAGAGGGCAGAGGGCAGAGCGCGTGCCTGCTGGCCGGGGGGCCGGCACCCTGCCGGCTGGCTGGCTGCGGCGCGCGCCTGGCCTGCCCCGACCCGCCCGCCCCCACACCCCGCCGCTGCTTCCGGGTGCTGCCCCCTGCAAGCCATCTATGGCTGGGGACACAAAACTGAATACTCACGAGTACCGGTTGTTTTCCCACAGTTTGTGACTACTGACCAGGAAGAGGTGCCACATACCATGCCATGCCATAACCGTACCATGCCGTACCGTGCCGTGCCGTGCCGTGCAGGGCCAGGGAGTGGACATCTTGTTTGTGTCCTTCCGCTGGGAGGACCAGCAGCCGTCCCAGGAGGCCTTTGACTTCAGGGTCATGGACTACGTGCAGGTGGAGGGGAGCCAGCCTCCACAGACTTTCCAAACCTTAACTAAACCGGTTTTGACGCTTGCCTGCTTGCTTGCTTGCTTGCTTGCTTGCTTGCTTGCCTGCTTGCTTTCTCGAGAGGCTTTTGTAGTCCGTATGTCGGCAAGAGCAGCGCCTAGCTTCAGACCGCGGTTTCAATCAAGATCTGCCCGCCGCGCCGAGCGCATCACCCCCCCGCCCACCCTTCGCGCAGCGCACCGTCTGCTCCCGCGGCCTGCGGCTCAGCGTCATCTTGGACGCCCGCGCCAGCCCCGGTTGGGTGTTTGACATGCACCCAGACGCCGGGCTGGTGGATGCGGACGGCGACGTTCGCAAGGAGATCTCCTTCTCGCATGCGGGCGCCATGCAGCTCCTGTTTGGCTGGCACGAGGCGGCGCTGAGCCGGCTGGCCGCCGCCAACGCCTCGTGCATCCACTCCATCCAGCCCACCTTCAACAACCAGTACGAGACCAAGTACACGCAGGTGCGGCGGGCGGGCTGGTTGGTACTGCCGG